AGATAGATAGATAGATAGATAGATAGATAGATAGATAGATAGATAGATAGATAGATAGGACAAAACCAAATGTGAACTTTGAATTAGGATAGCAGAGAAATACCATGTGACTTTATATTTTATAGGTGCATTTTACATCTGCAACAATTATCCATTCCCAAATAAATTGCCTAAATCATTAATCAGAATTAGCTGAAGATTTTTCATAGCCAAAATGAAAACCTTTACCTCCAATTACAACTAAGAAAAGTTAATCTGAAAATTTTATAATGGGAAACACTATACCTCTGATTAAAAATAGGACGGTGCTATAGTGACAGATTCATTGGCTAAACTAAGCTTTTGCTCCAAAGAACACATATTTTAAAGCATTTGCCATAGTAAAATTCATCACATTTCTCCCTATTTTCCTCTGCAAGACTTGTCAAAATCAATTTGTTAAAACCTACAACAGATGGAATGCCTGATTCTTCTCAAAAGATAGAAATAGACAGATATAGGCATAGATATATAGATAGATATAGATATAGAGATGTGAACTGTCTCTCATTCGCAAATGTGTTTCAGGTGACATGAGATCTTTCTTGTCCATAAGGTTTACCAGGACTCACACAGCTTCAGAGATAGTAATAGCACTTAGACTTATATACCACTTTACGGTGTTTTACAGCCCCCTCTATGTTTACAGAGCAATCCCAACAATCTGGCTCCTCATTTTACCAACCTCAGAAGTATGGAAGGCTGATTTGAATTGTTCAGAATCAAACTCTTGGAGTGAGCACTTGAGTTTGCCTGCAATACTGCATTCTAACCACTGTGCCACCATGTAAGATATCCAAGTAAGGAAATCATTCAGAACTAAGAATTCTACTGCAAAGTGGCATTGGAGTCACTTCATTTGATCCCTTGCAACACAAACAAAACCTGCAGGAAAAGCATATCCCTTGTTCAAAACTAGGGGAGCATTCACGTTAATATTGATGAGAGGTGATTCCTTTTCTCAGCCTCGGATTGTTTTCAAGTGGTATTTTTCAACTTTGGCAATGTTAAGACACGTGGACGTAAATTCCAAAGGCTATTGGCTGGGGGATTCTGGAAGCTGAAGTCTACATATCTTAACTTTGCCAAGGTTGAAAAACATCAATTTATCGAAATTATTTGAGCATCTTCTTCCCCTGAACACTCCATACCAGATAATTTTCAAATGAATAGAAGGGAAGCTCCTACTCTAATTCCTAAGATAACAAACAGGCCTGTCATCAGATTTAAGAAATTTTATTCTTATTGTATTGATTTTAATCAAGTATTTTACCAATCAATACATCCTCTTTCTCTCTTTGCACTTTAATGCAATTATATATGTGTGTGTACTTGGAATATATGCTTCTAACACAGTAGGTACCATATGCTCTTGCCTACAATTTTCAATCAGATGCTACATTGTTCAGGAGGCTGAGTGACAGCATAAGCACTACACAAGGGATGCAGTGTATTCATTCATTTTGTTCAGGACAGGTGTGAAAACATAAAGAATTCAACTTGAGGTCTTCATTTAGCAACGCAAGACACACACTGGGTTCAGAGAGGTGGTTGCCAGAGCTCCATTGCTCTGTGAAACAGTGATGATTCCCACGGATTTACAACAGATGCACGCAAAAAAAAAAAAAAAAACAACTGCAAAGCTACCTTAGTATAATTGCATTTCTTACTTGGAGGCAGATCCATCATTTTGGGAATGTAGAAACATTCGCGAAGGTGTTTTAGCTCATCTTCTTCATCTAAGTGCAGAGCGACTTTCTTATCTACCGGACTGCATGTTAGTTGGAAAGCAATTGTTTCTATAATGCTTGCTGGTGAGGCATGAGAAGGCAGATCCATTTTCAAGGAACACAACTCTCATTCTAAAGATGGAGAGACAAAGAGAGAGAGAAAGAAATCTCCATTTAGAGACTACGCCATGCATATGGGCAAGCGTCTGATGCAAAGATTATAGTTATGTATGAGCAGCCAACTACAAGCTTTTAAAAATGAAAAGCTTGGCAGTGTGAGAGAAAAGTGAGAAGTTCTCAATTCCAGCATTTTTCAAGGCAGCAGACTGATGTAACCCCGAAGCTATTAGTTTTAAATATAATCTTTCCCCCATAAAGCTCTGTATCAGCAATTTCTCTGTTCTACCAGTGCTTCAACAGCAGTAACAAATTCTATAGTGTTGTTCACACTTGCACACTTCGGAAAGCTGCCGGCAGCATGATTGCTTCCACAATCTGTGTTCCTGAAAATAGCAGGTGTATCACCACATTTATGCCTTTATGCTCCTTGGCATCTTCATTTACAGAAACTAAGAATATAGAAATGTATATAGATTGGAAGGAATAACTAGAGAGGGCCAATCTCGACTTCCATAAGCAATCTTTAAGAGAAGCTTCACTTTTCAAAACAAGTGCATCACAGGCCATAGGAGGCATTGATGCTCCTTCCCAAACCGGGAGAATGGCTTTCCACTGCTTCTAGACTTCTTAAAAACAGGGGGGGGGGACTCTGAAACTTTGACTTTTGGTTTTTGATGATTAAAGGTAAAGGTTCCCTTCGCACATATGTTGTTAGTCGTTTCCGGCTCTAGGGGGTGATGCTTATCTCCATTACAAAGCCGAAGAGCCAGCCCTGTCCAAAGACATCTCTGTGGTCATGTGGGCGGCATGACTAAATGCTGAAGATGCACGGAACGCTGTTACCCTCCCCCCAAAGTGGCCCCTATTTTTCTACTTGCATTTTTACATGCTTTCAAATTGCTATGTTGGCAGAAGCTGGGACAAGTAACAGGAGCTCACTCCATTACAAGGTGCTAGGGATTCGAACTGCCGAACTGCCTACCTTTCTGATCGACAAGCTCAGCGTCTTAGCCAGAAATGGCTAAAATTGTTGGCTGGCGTAGTTGCAGTCTCCATGTTACTTTTACTTTGAATTTTTACTAATTAGTACAGGCAGTCCTCAACTTACAATTTACTGACCATTCAAAGTTACATCGGCACTGAAAAAAGTGATTTTTATGGCCGTTTTTCACCCTTATGACCGTTGCAGCATCCCCATGGTCAAGTGATCAAAACTCAGATACTTGGCAACTAACTCATATTTAGGACAGTTCCAGTATCCCAAGGTCATGTGATCACCTTTTGCAACCTTCTGACAAACTAAGTCAATGCGGGAAGCCAGATTCACATAACAACCATTTTACTAACAACTGCAGTGATTCACTTAACAACTGTGGCAAGAAAATGGGGCAAAACTCACTTGACAAATATCTCACTTAGTAACAGAAACTTTGGGCTCAAATATGGTTGTAAGTCAAGGACTACCTGTAGTGTAGCTGCAATCTCAATTTTTACTTTTACCTAATCACTAAAGTAAAAAAAGTTGAAATTGCAACTACATTAAAAAAGTTGAAAATCAGTTTCTTCCCCCCCCCCCCCTTTAACTCACACTTCTTTCCCTTCTTTTATAAAATCAAACATGAGAATGGTAACCTAACTGAAGTTTATGATATTTCTTGTCCAGGATGAATGAAACCAATCTTGAGTGTTATGCCTCTATTCGCTTTGTCTCCCTGGCCTACGCATTGCACCTCTAGTCTTTGAAATGTATTCGGCATGGTCCAATACCACAATCAAGTCCTACATCAAGCTAACATTTGCTAACTACTGTACCTGTTAATGTATGATGGGAAGTAGCAGCTTAATGCAAAAAAAAAAAAACTAGTAATGTTGTGTTTAAGGTATATACTTAATGCTTCTTGGGTATAAGTATTGTCATCACCAATTGTTCTTCCAGCAAAATATTTACTGTTTCAATATTTAGCTTCATTGATAAGGCTTTCTGCATTTCTTCTCCATCTGTCTAATCTTCTGATTCACTTTTAGCTGAATTATGGCAACTGGAGGATTTTAAATGGAGAAAAATATTATGCCTTCATAGTATATTAAGTAACTTATCTCTCATGCTTTCTATTTGTAACAAAAGTCAAGCAAAATTTATGTATTTATCTGAAAATCTACTGTTAACTATAACCATAGTGACCATGATAAATATCAAACCTGAGATGTTGCCAAAATGCTTGATAAAAGAAGAAGGTGACAATGTAATGGCTTTCAGCTTTTTTTTAAAGTACCGGTATTATACAAGTAATGAACTAGTAATCAGCTAATCTGTGTTTTATTTGTGGTTGTAGTTGATTGACTATTGACATTTATCATAAACTATGAAAGAATTCATTTCTTTTCAGTTCAGCATGCAAATCACTGAATATTAATTACATCAAGGATAACTTATGGCTTACATATATTGATTGCTAAAAGCTTTCCAACTCCAAGGATACTAGGACCCATGTTTTAGTAAGTTAATTAAGCATGTTTTAAACTTAGCGGTGTGCTGAGAAAAATGTTTTCAACCAAATGAACCAAATGACTTAACAATGAAGATATTGAAATGGTGGATAGCGTCTCTTTTTTAGGATTGACTATCAATAGTACAGGAATTGGCAGACCAGAAGTATGCTATGGATTAACATTTGGGAAAGTAGCAAAGAAGATCATGAAAAAAAAAACATTGAGATGCTGTGATATGTCTACATCTACAAAGAAGAGCATCATGGAGGCAACAATTTTCCCTGCAAAATCTATGGAAATGAAATCTGGAAGAATGTAGCTTTTTTGGAAGGTTGATGTTGAGAAGATTCCTAAGAATATCATGAACAGCCAAGCAAACAAACAAACAGATTATAGAACAAATAAAGCCAGGGTTCTCACTTATGTCATAAATGACCAGGCTATTGTATTTTGGAACACATTATACAAAGACCTAGTTCTTTTCAGAGACCTAGAAGGCTGGGAAAGGTGGAAGAAATGAGGGGGGGGGGAGATGAAGAGCAGGATGGACTCAGTCATAGAAACAACTGGAATACTACTGTAAGACTCAAAGGATCAGATTGAGAACAGATCATTGTAGAAAAAAGCTACCTATGTAGTTGATAAGAGTTGACCGCAAATTGAAGGCACATAATTATCAATCATCATTGAGTTGAATAAAGTGCAAATGGGTACTTAAGCATACTGTATATCAGTGATGGCTAATCTTTCCGTCCTTGCATGCCAGCACCCATAAGGCAATGCATGTGGGGGGGCTCACAGCCCCTGCATGCACAACCCCCTGCATGCATTGTGCATCTCTGTGCATGCATGTGCAACCCCCATGTGCGCTACACATTTCTGTGCATGCGTGCACATCTCCTGTGCGCCCCACACATGCGCAGCAGCTACCCGACCATCAGCTGGTGGGTGGGCGGCACGCGCCTGCACACTGGACCTCCTCTGGGGTGACGGCTCGCGTGCCAGCAGAGATTGTTCTGCATGCCACTTCCAGCATGCGTGCCATAGGTTTGCCATCACGGCTCTGTATGATAAAATGAGAATAGGGTCAAGAATGAATGAATTCAGAGTGAAAACGGTTTATATACAAAAACAAGTGACCAGCTATAAAGCAGTATATTGTGATGGTTTGATCACATAGAATAAAAAAACAAAAACAAATTGCAAAACAAAAACTTCAAAGTGAGTGGGTCAAAAGGAAAAGAAAGGATAAAAAAGTAGTAGCTGATTCTCAGAAAGAGAAATTTAAAGAACCAAAAGCAAAGTATAAAGAGATATGTGGACAGTTTGTGAAGATCAAATGACAGGTAGTCCTCAATCTAGGACCACAACTGAGCCCCAAATTTGTTGCTAAGTGAGACAGTTAAGTGAGTTTTGCCCCGTTTTATGACATTTCTTGCCACAATTGTTAAGTGAACCACTGCAGTTGTTAAGCAAGTTAACATAGTTGTAAAGTGAATTTGGCTTCCTTATTGTTTTAGCTTGTCAGAAGGTTGCACAGCCATCACATGACTCTAGGATGCTGCAACTGTCATAAATATGTGCCAATTGCCAAGCGTCCAAATTATGATCATGCAGCACATGCGGATGCTGCAGCAGTTGTAAGTGTGAAAAATTAGTCTCTTTTTTCAGTGCTGTTGTAACTTTGAAAAATTGTAAGTCGAGGACTATCTGTAAATGGAGAGAGGAGTACTGAAAGGTATTGGTATACTGTAAAGTTGTTTTAACTAAACTTTCTTTTCTTTATCTTACACCTTTGAATTTTGGGGCTATTTCTTTTTCTATACTCTGCATAACACTACTAATCTTAGAAGGGAACATCCTGATGGATGTATATGTAAAAACTCTGGAATAATTTGTTGCAAATTGCATTTAAATGACCAAATGACTGAATACTGAATTTTTCCCCCCAAGCTGTCATTATGTAGAACCACAGTCTCATTTCATTTGCAATCAGTATTGCATTTTATACTACTGAACAGTGAATTTCATTACATTTAAAGTTGCAGTTATATTCATGTTTGAAATACAGTGTTAAAAGCATACATCTTGCAGTTATGAGGGCTGAAATGGAAACTACTGAATAAAATGTACCCATACAAAATAAAAGATCTAATGTAAAGATCAATCCAATTTTTAATACACATTTATTAAGGTTGTTTTTTTTCAAAAGAAAAAAATGGAGAATTAAAGAACTGTTAACGTCTTACTTTGATTTGAACAAAATAAATATTCAATTCACTACATTCAGCAGTATTTTATAATGCTTTACTAGAACGGTAATAACAAAATATTACAAGAAAATTATCTTTTAAAGAATTACCAGGTTTGTCCAATGAGTTTTATACCTTCTTGCTATTCTCAAATCAAGATGCAAGCATTACAAATGGTGTCTCTAAATTTTTTCTCTTACCTTAAATTTGCAGGAATTGCTGTTTCTGATTAATTCTTTCACTCCCTTATTGTCAAAGTCCAGTTTATCC